AGGGAGCAGGAGGGGACTGACGAGCCTGCCGAGATGTGAGAGGACAGTGAGTGGCGACTTCATTAGGATACGCCCGTACAATTTAATTCAACAGCTCCGCTTTTAAATTTGACGAAGTTTATAATGTTCTTAATTGTTTCTTATTTTTTTGTTCTACTATGGTCCAAAATATTTAAGTCTTCTTGTGGCATCTTGTGGCACATCCAGCGCAAACTATTCCCTCGATGCTCAACAAATGATTCAATAAACGCCTTACAAAAAAATTAAAGCTCCGCTTTAAGGAAGTATTGTGGTGTTTACTATACATAAATATTATACAATAAATGTTAAATAATCAACATTATTTTTAAGAATCCTAAAATGTATGAAATGTCTCTTTATATATTTAATTTTCAATTAATTCTTAGAGCAAGACCTTTAACAGGTGCACCAATGGCAACCATGCTATCATAATAAAAGTACAGCATAAGTATTCTATGATATTACTGAGAACACAAAACCGTCTAAGAATCAGCTTATATAAAAAAGGTAGAATAAAACAACTTTCGTAAACAGTGACATTCACACTCACCTCTATCTGAACGTAAACATGTAGAAAAAAGCAAGATGGTGGAGATGAGATACTAACACACACAGAATTGTTCAGCATGTCACTAAGCAAGCTGGGTGACAGTTTCGATGTTGAATACCCAAAAGTAAACAAAGTAGCACACACCAAGGTCTTCAGGACAAAATCAGACAAACATGCTGACGTTTTGGCCTGATGGTGTTCACCATAATACATGTGTTGATTTGAGATTACTCAACATTTTCCTTTAGTTCTCTGTGTGTGTGCCTCCTAATTACCTTTGTGTATTCAGCTTTGAACCTTTATTAATTTAGTTTAGGCACCACAAAACAAATACAGGAAATACCTTTTTATAAACAATGTCAGTGTTTGTGTTGGGTTTAAGATGATGAGGGCAAAATACACACAAACACATACCTCCAATCCATCCACATAAGCCAGGATGTTTGGGTGACGCAGGGTCTTCATACGCTTGAAGGCAGCCTTGGCGAGCTGGGTCTGCTGCTCCGTCCCCTGCGCTACCTCGTACAGAAACACAGACACCGGCTCTCCATTGGTCTGAGGACAGAGGTTGAGTTAAAACAAAAGTAAATAAAAACTAAATATACTATAAATATTTCAACCTGTCATGTTCAAATGAATTACAACAAGCATGATGAAAACAAGAAGCTGGTGTTTTTTGAAGAAGTAAAAACATGTAATGACATCCGAACTGATTAACAACATCAAGCATGATACAGTTATCATATAGTGAGAGAAAAGGACATATTCATAACTAATAAAAGATAGGCAATAAAATGTAGGCCCTTAAAAACTAAAAAAATACTGAAAAAAACTAAAATTGTTCAGATGAGGAACTTTTTTCCATGTAAATAAAATACGTGCAAACGTTTTTGTTTTTTGTCCATAATAAATGATTACATCCTAGGCTTCCATGTTATTTGAATAACAAAACAAGCTGGGTCTATTTTATACAGAATCCTAATGTGTACTGACATTCATAAACACTATAAATCTTGAGATGAACGTATGGGTGCGATAAATGTTACGCAATGCATACCTGTGTAATGTATTTCTATACATTTGTTAGGGATAACATATTAGGAAAATGTTGTTTCGCAATGCATACTCGTAAAATGGGAACTCTCAATATACGTCCTCCTGGAGTAATTTTCCTTTTGCTGTATGAACAACTCCTTAAATATTTATTAGCACATTTATGATTTGCAATATTTAGAAAGCAGATGCTTTGCTTTCTTTATCTGGCCCTGCAGTGACGGTGATGACACCGACAGTCAGGATTGAGTTGCTCAGTTATAATAACATGGATAGATATTTAAATGAGCTGCTGTAAGTGATGTCCGATGAGGGACGGAGACTTTATTAATGTTATAAAATTAGCTTAAAAACGATTTCAGAAACAGTAATTAACTCGGCTTTAACGGAGTGACGTGGCGAGAAATACGTGTCTGTCTTTTGGAGTAAACAAAGCCGAAGCTCACTTCGTTAGCAATAAATAAACGATACCTAAAGAATGGAGAAAATGAAATAAACAATGACATTCGATCAGGGAGGAAGATGATAGAGATACGGACAGACCTGAGCCGAAACAACGCCTATTAACTACTGGACATCACGTCTAAAAGCTAAATACATTAGCGAAGAGACAGTGACAGGCCTCCATAGCGATGCTAACAGCTAGTCGAGGATCGGTGTCGGTTTTCCGCTTTTACCTTTCTCTTCCCCCTGTGTAGACTCCATATTCCAGACTTCTCCTGAAAGTCTGGCAGGATTTCATAGGCAAAGTCTTTGACAGGATCCCTGGCAAAAAATGACCACATCTCCTCTTTCCTCCACACCACATCAAACACACACAAACACCTAAACAGACCGCTAGCTAGAAGAGGCTAGCTAGCGAATTGGTACGAGTGTAAAATGGCTCCGGGTAAAAGTTCTGCCTGTATGGTGGTTCCGCTCCTCTATTCTATCTCATCACTAGTTGCATGGTAAATCATATCTAATTTTAGCTGATAATAGCCGCCCTGGATAGATTCCTCTCAATGTCTAACTCAAGTCGTAATCTGAATGATGTCCAAGCCTCATTTGGCAACAACATGACTTAATACAAATGTTTATTTTGATATATTACTTCTCCTTGTAAGAACATATTTCTTGCCAACATCTCTACTCTATGGAAGTTGAAGTCAATGTTAAATAATGACAATGATAATGTCATTAACATGTGTCTAGTGTGGATGCCTTCAGTTTAAAGTAGCCGATTTGTTTTCCAATGTACGACAAAAACAGGGCACAAGCATGCTGTTAGCCTGTTTTGTTATCTATCATGCATTTAGATCTCATCAAAATCTTAAAAGGTCATTTATGTCCCCAAAGTGACCTAGGTGAAGTGAACACAGTAAATCACCAACCAGAGCTAAGTTGTGGAGATGAAACTGCAAGGTTATATAAAGACTATTTATAAATCTTTGTGAAGGTTGGTAATATGCTGGACAGTCAACGGAGCTCCTTCTCCAACAGACTGCTGCAGCTCCGCTGTCACAAGGACCGATACAGCGAAACATTCCTGCCCACTGCAATAACACTAAATAAATCACCTCTGGCTGGAAGAGAATTCTCTGCTACATAGTTTGTCTTGGAATAAAACCACATGGTACATATATATAATCTGTTCTATATTTAAATATTCCATCGGTCATATATTTATGTATATAAGTATGTATACATAATACCTTAATTCAACATGTATATTTTCAACGTTCTTGTTTATTTCTAGTCTTTGAATTTTTATTGTACAATGCCATGTCTTTATGCTACTACAACATTTCCCAAATTAGGATCAATAAAGTACTATCTTATCCAGACAATGGTTAATACATTTTCATTTAATGTACATGTAGTTTTACTTTACTCTAGCTTTACAAAAATAGTTGTTTTGATAAGCTTTCAACCTCAGTTAAATTGTCACCCATTTTTATTAAGTTTGCCATATGTATATTGTTTAGTGACCAGAACAGTAAAGACAAAACTCCTGTAACACAGAATACTTCTCAATTAAAAGTCTATCCCTTTGGCTCCCTTTATCAAGGCTTATATTAACTTTTCATTGAGGTACTAAGGTTTCTAACTGAAATTGGCTAACTGAAAGTTTAGCCAATTGCTTCAGTAATGTACAATTGGCTCAATTAACACAAGCCAATTATAAGAGGATCTTTCAAGACATTACTTTTTAATAAAAGCACACGAGGGAACTGAACTACATTTTTAATCATGTGCCAACATAAGTATTAACATTTGGAGATTATGCTTCGTTTTCTGTCCCGATTTAATAAGTAATCTGTATCTTCTTTATGTTAAACATATACACCCCTAATGTCACAACAGCACAATCTCACATTTCAAACACAAAAAGCAGAAAAACACCACATCAAATTGTATGCAAAACAGGAAGGTTTTATTTGTCTTATTTTAACATCTTGTGGACAGGGGATACGATACATTTACATTAAGACACAGGAACATTTTAATATGACTTGGTACCTGGGAATTCCAGCTTCCCAATAAACTTTGTTAATTTACTTTTCTGTAATACATTTCATGTGAAATGGTAAACATGCTCATCATCCCTAGCCAGTTTTAACTTTTGTCCCCCTGTCTTTACAAATATAGTTAAAATAAATAGATTAGTCTTATTTAACTTAAATTTGCAACATATGTTTGATTGGCTTCATATTATTACCCCACAGCAACTTTAGAAAGGCAAAGACACCGCAGGGGATTGAACCCTGTCCCAACAAAGTCAGGAGTGCCACCACCGGAGTCTTTTGCTTTTTTTTGTTGTAGCTGTTATAGGTAAAAGCAAAACCTGGAGGAACAAAAACAAATTTGTTCCTCCAGGAAAAGAAAACCCCTCAACACCTGGCTGCTATAATTTGTTGTCACCACATGGGGATTTCGCATGGTCACGAGCCTGAAACTAGAAGAAAGACAACTGGTTTCCCCAATCCCAGCATTCCCCACGACACTTCATTGTTGTATGACTGATTCCAGCGAACTCTTTTATCCACATTTACGAGGCCACAATACCAGCGTCCCTGGTGATACCCAAAGCGGTTTCTCCCTTTGCAATTCAGCTGGACTCGCTGGTCACACGGACAGGCAAGTTTACAGCTGTAATGGAAAAAAGGACAATTAAGCCGCCCCACCTCCCGCCCCATAGAATTCCCACACTTAAAAACCAATATCACAATACGATCATTACAACAGCTATTCTTTCTCAGTAATGCTCAATTCTTCCAAGTAATAAAGATTGTACCAAGTCAGCCCGTGACTCCCCGCAGAGGTTTTAGTCGCCTGGCTCAGTAGCAAGATAAGTTGAACGAGAAATCTGAAAGGAAGAGAGGAGAATGTTGCCCCCCCAGAAACCCCTTGACCAAAATACGCCAACGTTTTACAAATCTTCATGAAAAGTATGTTGTGTGTTATGAATAAAATGTTATGCAGAGCTGGGGTGCATGCAACATGTTGAGTTACACATTAAAGCCATGGTATGTTAAAGAAAAAATAAATCAAGGGAACCGAAATTACTTAACTTAGCACCCATGAGACTGAAGTGATGCAGTATTAGCGAGACAAGCTTGCAGCTCTTGATCTTATAGTGACTGGATTCTCAGCGTTCCATCCCAGAGGATAAATTAAGACTTTTTTTTTAGGCAATTTGACCTGAGAAACCATAGGGGAAAGAAAAGAGGCACACACACAAACACAGAGGGCGGGGCTTCTGCGAAGGACGTCGGAGGGGGTTCGGATCTAAGCTCAAGCGCACAAGGGGTTGGTACTTCATTCAGGGGCCACACTCATATTCGCTGACAGCTTCCACAGATGGCTTTGCATTCAGAGGCAGGCGAGATCGGAGCAGACAGACGAAAATGATCTGAAACAAAGAGTGATCTACACAAAACACCCACCACACAATACTCAAAGATTCGAGTTTTACTCATCTTGTGTTTTAAGATGCAAAGCAATAGGGCCCCGGCGCCAAAGAGGAATGGGCTAGTAAAGCATTGTTGTTACTCATGATTTCGAGGTTAACAAAGCCAGTTCCAAGATGTCATTTTGATAACTACAACATTGCAAAAGTTTATTTTGAAAAGGTAGCCCAACATCTTACTACATGCTGCAGGTTAGAGGACTTCACTCGCTGCTGAACCAGTCTCACGCCCTGATCTCAGATTTCTGTAAAGAGAATTGTAGGAATACACCGAACCAATGCACAATATTAACTAAAGCAACACATTTGCGCTGCATTACAGACCAAAACAAAGCTGCACAATGCACAGCTTTCCTCAACTGCTTTTTTTTTCTTCTCTATCTTTGAAAATCGCACAGTTGCACGATTGGGAGTAATTTTATATGACCAAGCTACCACTTGCACAGTTGCGCAAGGGCAAGCAGCTGAGGGCTAATAATTCAGAAACATCACATTTGAACCTGACTCCATTTGCTCAAACTGCGTGTTGGTTGATTTCAAACGACAGGATGATTGCCGTGTTGTCCTACGTAGACTGCATTCTTCCTTTGGACTGTTCTGTAAGATCAAAGAGGCAGACAAGAGACACCCCTACACCCCCCTCACAGTATCGTAGAACTGACTATTGTTATCCTTACCCAAATGCTTTACTGCAGATAACGTCAGAATCAAAGAGGGTACATCAAATCCTTCCATTATTACAAGACTCTTGTTAAGAAAGCACAACAGTGCCATTTCTACAGAGAAGTATAGCAAGTTGCTTTAATTTCAAGAACAATGAGGACAGTGAAGCCCATTCAAGATATGTGACCCCTCTAGGGTTGATAATTATCCAACATCATTTTTTGATGGATTCAACTTATCTGCCTTCAATTTCCACTTTGAAAAGGATGTCACTCGAACCCAGGTCACATCCGTGCTCTACAAAGCTCCAGGCTTAAGTCATACCTGAAAAAGCACAAGAAAAGCTCCCCCACACAAGCCCCCCCAAAAAAGAACAAATGCATACCAAAACTGTATTCAATCACAACAAGCTATGCATTTATTATGCAATAAGAAAATCCTTTACAGATAGTTCACTCATTGTATTGTCAATACAAGGCATAGTAACTAATTGCAAAGGAATTGCAATGGAGGAATTTAGCCAGACAATGAATGTTAAAAGAGAAATGTGAACACATTTAGGGACCTTACGTGAAGCTCGATGTGCAAGGACACTTGTACAAACAATGAGTTAGGAGAGTTCCTGATGGTCTCGGGTATTGGAAAACGCACAGGACACAGCACACTGAAAAATGCAAAGGAAAAACCCTCTCCCCACAATACCCCTCCAATGATGCAACACAGATCTACAAGACAATTACTAGCATTACAGTGCCCCTACATTAACGACACAACTGTATGACTAGAAATACAATTCATGAAAGATTGAAGCAAATTTTCCAGAACATTTAAATACCGCAAGCCGGAACGCGAGGGATTCCTTCCTTATGAACTGTAGACGTGGACTTGGATGTAGATTTTTGAAGGACGGCCATACAACTTAATCTGCAAGAGTAACAAATACACAAGCCCCTCCCAACCCAACAAAGCAACTGCCTGTACAGAATTGCAATGATTTCTAGTAAGGAGATTTGTTACCACCCTCTCTGGGAAAACAGAGCTTCTTGCTACACCAGGAGACTAGATTTGAAGTTGCTATCCTGCGGGGCAAAGAGTCCACTCGAACCCGGTTGGGTACGCCTGGAGGTTTCCTACTCAGGCCATTTTGCGTTGGGTAACATGGAGCTGTGAAGTCTAGGGAAGAGACTGATTAACGTCCCACAACCCCACCCTCCCATTACCCAATAAGATGTGCATGAAACTCAATTTACAACATGTTCTGAACAAGGTAGAAGTAATAAAACCCAATAGGTTAATTGAACAATATTAAATACCTTCCTACATCTCTTTAAACCGCAGTGGATGCACATGATCCCGATCCATAGTACTATAGTTAATAAAGATGTGTATCAAAAGGGGGTTCTTTCGATGATCCACTTTAGGGGGCAGGCCTGTGAAAAGAAGAACTCGAAACACGTTTTAAATGTCCCCTCCCCCTACCCAAATACCTTTCTTAACCCGGATCAACTAATTAAAACATATTTTTCCTTTTTAAGCAAACATTACTGTAAACTACACAGCATAGGCAATGATGAGTTAATGTACAGGATAGTTACACCCTCATGTACATTTCATGCATTAACTCACTGCTCAGGTTAAGAAGTAGATCTGCACCAATGGTGCGCAGCTGAAGCACTGAAGGGTTGCTGTATACACACATCAATCGGCCGCACAGGAGACCATCCACTCTCTCACTCCAATGACGAAAGCTCCTTTCGGGGGAAGACCTATCGAACAACATGGGGCTGCCTCGATCCGGCTGGGGGAACTACTTGTGATCGCAGGGGTAGAGAAGTCCGATAAGATGTTCCTCTCTCCAGCACACTACCAAGGCATTCATCACAGCAGACACCACCACACGCATGTCAGCGCACAACAGGAGCGGTGACCACGGTACAAAACGATTTACACGGCTTGCCTGTAAAGAGGAAGAGAGAGCTGTGCGAGAAATTGTGTTCTACAATCATTTCTAGGAAATAGTATGAAAACTGCCTGAAAATGTTAGAGAGATACCTCTACCCAATATACAAACCACCGCCTTGCTTTAAACTTGTGAAGCTAGAAGACTGTGCGCCCTGTCCCCCCCTTGCATCACTGGCTGGCTCTGGAACTGCTTCAGGATGGCCGCTCTGCTGCTGCTGCTGCTGCTACCCTGCCCCTCTGGCTCCCTCTGGTGTACACTTCGCCAACAACTGCTGCAGCTGCTTCATGCTCTCTTTGGCCCCCTCTGCTCTTCCCTCCATGCCCTCTGGTCCTTTCCTGCCTGGAAACACTCTGGTCCTCCCAAGCCCTTTGGTCCTGTCCTGCCTGGCTCCACTCTGGTCCTCCCCGTGTCCTCGCTGGTCCTTCGATCTTCATCACACAACTAAGTCCATTTTTTAAAATTACTACAATAACTAAGTCCATTGGTCCACTCGATAACTCAGTCCATTTCCCCCCCCCCCATGAAAAAAAAAAAATCTTCTTTCTTCTTTCTAAGTAATTTAAATGATTGGAAAAAATACATATCATCCTCTATGCCTCTTATTCACTGAGCAACAGCTTGTAATAAAAGCTTTGATTCCTTACGAATTGCCTTAAAACTGCAGTTTGTGCATTTCTTTGCCCAAAGGAATTCGCTTGAAACAAAGAGATGAACGTCTTTAAAAACAAAAAGCGCAATGACTAAGATACTGCAGCATAACAAAAAAAAAGGATTGCATATCAACGCGTTCCCTAATCATGACAAAGATCATCATCGACGGTTTTGATTCATTTACCCAAAAAAAAAAATCGTCTTAAAAGGTTCTTTGGTTTAATAAGATCATTAGATTTGACTTATCTGACCCAATCTTCATTAATGTTCTCCTCTTTTGGCTCGTTTCAGCGTGAGAATATCCCCAGATAATTTGCACGTTTAACTTGCGTCTAGCCATTCACATCTTAACTTATCTCTTGGTTAATCTTCTCAGGTTGAAGTCACCTCTTCTTTTTTTTTACTTCAGTCTTGCATCAGTTTTTTTAAACATTACTTTATAACAACGTCTGCGTCTTCATCTACCCTTGTCATCTTGCTGTAAGCACTTTCTTGTCGAGTAACATCAGCTAATAGCGCACAACAGTAATAACTTAACGGTCGTTTAGTCACGAGGCTTTTTATACCATCAGCTGTAAGATAATAGCCTTCAAAACAAAATTCCTTCACCAACTCTGTGTAGCTTTGCAAAAAAAGCTTGACTGGAAGCTGACCACGCCCTTTCCATCTCTTTCTAGGTGCGTCACCACAAGTTATTCAAATCGACCAATAGCCAACCGTTACAGGCTGCTACGTCACGGCCGCCATCTTGAGCCAACTGCTGTTAGAAGCACAACTTTGTTTACGATTCATTTTTCTAAACTTTGCGTTTAACCGTAACGTCATATAATATAAACGTTACGCTATCCACTGTCAGGCTAACAGACCGAACGTTTGAGAGTAACGTCTTAACGTTGGCATTAAACACGAGTCTATTTTTGGCCCACTTGCCCTGCCGTTAGCTACGAGCTAACATTAAGTAGTTTCGAAAAAAGTGAAACTTAGATATCTGATTAAGGCAGATTTTTCAGTGACATTTGCCAACTGAAGCGTATCAATCAAACATAAAGCTCGATCACAAAAAGTTTAGTCTAAAAAGACAATAGAAGGCACAACATATCCTTCATATTGAGGCTAAGCGTTTAGACAGGGACTTACGCTTCCCTGAAAACACAAAACTTTGAAAGAAAACACGAATATAATGTGAGGTAGAATACATCTACACATCTTCAAAGCTAACGATTGAATCTCAAAGTAATAAAAGGAAATAAAAAGAACGGTTTAACCTGTAACACCTCTAACCGCGCCGGATTCGTTTCAATGCAGTCTGAGATGAAATGGCGTCACCAGCGGTATTTATACTGTTTGGGTGATCCGGATACGACAAGATGTGGTATTCATCCGGTGAAAAAAGTAGTCCCACTTTAACAGGAACAAAACTTACAAAAATAAAGTTTGGCGTTCGATTCAAGCTGAAACTTGAAAGAATATGCATCAGTGTGGGAATATGGGGCACTGTTGAACATAGTATTATTGCCCAAAGATGTGTTCATATTCAAACTTCTTCAATACAGACACTGAGTAAGTTTGTGTTGATGTTGTCAATTGACTTCAGAATGTTGGACATATGTTGAACGCAAACAGATAAGTTATTTACATTAAAAAGGGAAATGTTCAGCCTTGCACCACGACATCCAATAGCTGACGTCACAGGAGCTGCTGTGCGGATGAGTTTTTACTTGTGTGTAATGCGGTCCGACCAAACCGGATCAAACTAGAATGTGCTAGAGTCGCCGGATCTTATTCCCCTTTACTGCAATGATACGCCATTTGATCGACAAACAATAGAAAACAGCTAACTCATCTTCTCTAACTTGGATGGCCTATGTTCAATCACGTTTGTTGTTGTTTTTTGCTAGATTTGGCAGTTGCTGTTAAAGCTACTGGTGCTGGCTGGCTGTATTTTGTTTTTCAAATATGATTTGGTATTTTGGAGACCTGTATTTACTAGCCTCTATTGTGTGTATCATGGCTCTAATTTGCAACCAAGCTATATACTAGCGATTCAATAGTTGGCCTACAGCTTTGGGGCTGCAAGGTGTACGTGATATGACTAGAAATATCCAGAAACATCTAGTGGAAGTTTGTCCCTGTGATGAGGTGGAAAATTACCAGTGCTGAAAGGCCAACATGTGAGGTACTTCTGTTCACCAGTAGATGGTGCAGTGAAAGCCATGTATTCATGCTCCCAATGCCTGAAACCTTCCTATGTGTTTTCCTCTGCTGATCTGGTTGTCAACTGGATTGCAGTAGCTTATCCTGGACATTTCTGGGCAACCTCCTTCATGTTACTATTTAAGTGACAACTCTTTGTTATTGACACTGGCATTTTTAGTAACATTATTTATTTAATTTACTAAACAGAACTAACATTCCTAAATAATACATGTTGTAAACATTCAGTTATGTGGATAGAATGTTGACTGAAATAGTCAACATTCTTCATTCTTTTTTTAAGCAAAATGGTAAAACAGATCTCATAATCATAAGTTGCCTTGGGAGAGTGTCCAGTGCTGTCCGCCAACCTTTTTATAGTCACAGGGCAAAAATATCCTCATTACACATTTTAGAATAGCTCAGTTTAAATTCAAAAGGTGGGAAAGAGCGGTTACTGTCATAATGACAGTGTCATTGATCAGCAACGGCCGGGCGTGGTTTTCCTCTTTATGAGTTTCAACCAAGACTGTAAAGGCTTCAACCCCTCCCTACCTCAACAAGTTGATCTTTTTAATGTTTATTAGACAGGTGATAGTCACACATTAGCAAAAGAGACGTCTCCTTTCATGTGATACTAAGGCCTCTGATCTAATCAAGGCTCATCAAGACATTTTTGTGGTATAGGCCTACTTGCAAATCAAGGCGTTTTTTTTTACAATTTGCATATGGTACTTAATGATTTTGTGCAAAGTTGGGAAGCAAAGTTAACGGTTACAGGATATAGTTATGAATGTTGAAGAGCGAGACAGCACAAACATATTCCATTATGGCACTAATGGAATTAAGTGAGGAAATAGCAAACTGCATGGAGAATACAAAACAAGCAGTGGGAATATTTATAGACCTACAAAAAGCATTTGACACCATAGATCACAACATTTTACTGACAAAACTGGAAAGGTATGGCATCATAGGGGAGGGATTAGACTGGGAGAGATTATTTAAGCAACAGACAACAATTTGTTGAAATAGGTGAACATAAATCAGAATACATGAACATAACTTGTGGAGTACCTCAGGGGTCTGTGTTGGGTCCAAAGCTGTTCATCATATACATCAACGATATTTGCAGAGTATCAAATATATTGATAATTATTTTATTTGCAGATGATACTAATATTTTTTGTTCTGGTGACAATTTGAAACAGCTAATGGAGGTAATAACAGCAGGAATGATTAAAGTAAAACATTGGTTTGATAAGAACAATTTATCATTAAATATAAGCAAAACAAAGATTATTCTATTTGGAAAACATAAAACAAATCTTCAGGTGCAATTAACACTAGACAACATAAACATAGAAAGAGTAAATGTAAATTAATAAATTCCTTAGGTGTGGTTTTTAGACCACAAAATCAGCTGGTCTCACTAAATAAAAACGACCGTCGCCTTCCACAGCCGTGCCGCTTTTCTGTGTTGCCCACGCCCCTGTGTGGTTAGACCATCCCGCCTGTCCTGGCGAGTAGCTGCCGGCTTTAGCCAAAAACCCACACCGAAACTCGGTCAAAACGATAATGTACTATCT